GGTTTGCTTCTGTGTTATGAGTCACTCTTCTCCTATTTTACTTGAATTGTTCTAAATATTGTTGCTGTTGTTGTTGTTGTTTTGATACCTAGGTTAGGAAATGACTTAAGGTCTTGATGTTTCTGTCTTTAAGGAATTAGAAAAAAATAGAATTTCATCAAGTGTTGTCTTTTTATGATTATTATTCTCTTATTTTTGTGTTAACTAAATGGACTTTCTACCTTCTTCCTTTCCATCTCTTGCATCAGGCCTCCAGGGTGATGGTGTTCAGATTCTACCTGCCCAAGAGCAACCCCCAATGTTTCTAAATGGCCGTATGTGATCTATATCTGTTGCCAGAATGCTTGGAAAGGCCTTTCTGCTTTTCTGAGTAGATCTGAAAATTTGTCAAGGCTGAAAATTAAACTTGAACTAGTTTCTGTAAACAAGAAAGAGCCATTGCTTAGAATCTTATCTGCAGTTCCAGCTCAATAAAAATTACATGTTACTGTATGAGACTCTATCTTGTAGATGTCCCTTATGTGACCTTCATTTCAAAATTGTTAGGTATCAACTTCTAAATGCCACCCAAAATGGGAGTTCCTGTAAACCATAGGCCTAATATTTTTGTATTTACAGCTCTATTCTCCATACCCAAAACAGTACTTGGCAAATAACAGCCACCAGTTAGTACTGGGTAGAGAGATGGATGCATAAGTAGACCAGAAGGTGCATGCTATGCATGGATGAGTAGTTGGATGGATGAGAGAAGCCAGGTGGAGTTGTGACTGGGCCATTGCCTTTATCATCAAAGAGATCTCAGTTCCGGTTTTTGGCTATATCGCTTTCCAGTTATGAGGCTTCTCTGAATTTCAGTTTCCTCCTACTGGTATAGGTTTGGGGGTGGAGGACTAAGTAAGATAATAAAGACTCGGTGCTGGTGGCTCACACCTGAAATCCTAGCTACTCAGCAGTCTGAGATCTGAGGATTGCTGTTCAAAGGCAGTCCAGGTAGGAAGGTCCTTGAGACTCTTATTTCTAATAAACCACTCAGAAAAAGCCAGAAGTGGTATCATGGCTCAAGTAGTAGAGCACTAGCCTTGACAAGCATCCAGGCCCTAAGTTTAAGTCATAGGATTGGGGCAGGGGTGGGAAGAGGAGGGGGGGAATAATGAATATAAGGTTTTAGTGTGATATTTGGCATATTTTCAGAACTTAGTAAATGTTGACAGTTATGTCTATTGTTTTCAATGAAAGTTTTCAAATGTTGAAAGTTATAAGATGTAATTGAATTTAATTTAATATGACTAGTAGTGACTATATTACTAAATACAAATTAGTTCAATGAATATTTTGGCAAAATTTTACTTAGAGTCAAATTGACAAAAAAGTATGTCATACCCATCATATTTATGGAACTAAAGTGAGATATCAAGAGTGAGTAATTTGCAAAATCAGGCAGAACAAGCCAGCACCTTCTAAAACATAACTAGAAGACTTACTACATGTGCAAGCTTTATTTATAATATAAGACAGTGATCATCTTATTGTGGTTGCCTCCTACATCATCCAGTCTGTCCTCTACACTCTGCAGAAAATTATTTTACAACATTCAACCTCTGCTTCAAATCCTCACAATGATACCTACTTCCTCATGAAATAGCTCATTCAACTAAGGAAATGTAATCACCATTAGTAAGATCTATCTTAAAATTATCTTTTTTTTCAATGAGTTTTGCACAGTGATCCAACTTCTACCATCTGGACATATCTACTTTTCCCCCCTCTGTATCAAAAATTAGTCAAGAAAGGCCACTCTAAAGGTCACCATTTATTTTTATGAATAAACCTTTATTGGAACATAGCCACACCTACTTAAATACATATTGCTTATGGCTGCTTTTGTACTTCAATCACATGGCATCCACAACATAGACTCACAACACTGAAAAGTATTTACTATTAGACTCTTGAAAGAAATTCTTTAGCTGGGCACTGGTGGCTCACACCTGTAATCCTAGCTATTCAGGAGGCCAAGATCTGCTGACCAGAGTTCAAAGACAGGAAAGTCCATGAGACTCTTATCTCCAATTAACCACAAGAAAACCAGAAGTGGCGCTGTGGCTCAAGTGGTAGAGCACTTGCCTTGAGCTGAAGAGCTTAGGGACAGCGCCCAGGCCCAGAGTTCAAGCCCCACAATCGACAAGGAAAGGAAGGAAGGAAGGAAGGAAGGAAGGAAGGAAGGAAGGAAGGAAGGAAGGAAGGAAGGAAGGAAGGAAGGAAGGAAGGAAGGAAAGAAGGAAGGAAAAACTCTTTAAACTTCTGCTTTATGGAACAGAACTTAAAGACAAGTAACAAGAAACATGTCTCTTCTTAAAGTCAGTGGCCAGGAACTCAGCACAACACTCCAAGTAGACACAGTGAAGGCAGAGTCAGGTAGCCACACTTTCACCTCCATGTGCTTGAGGAAATATTTCCCATACTGTGACCAGATTGGCCTTTAACACTCAATACACTCTAGCATATAAAGGACTAGATCTCTGAGATCTTCTTGCCAGGATCTATGTCTGCCCACTCTGCATTGGAATATACTATTGTTTGAAAATGTATACAAAACATTACATCTTTCTAGCCTTCCCAGAGCAATTGCAAGCAATGCTACATTTATTTGAGGGCTACCTCAAAAGCTATCAGGTAGAAAAAGATTAGTATACTCAGCCAGGAGGGGTTGTCTTTTTGTTGTTTTATTCTCATCAGTTAGATATATAGGGGATTTCATGTTTACATGCCCATTTATGTAAACAATGCATCAGAATCACCCCTCAATCGTTTCTCTCCTATCCTTCCCTTTTCCCAGACCAGTCTCAGCATGTTTTCTTGCTTTGATTTTTACTCAGCTAAGACTTTAAGAGAATATAATGAGGAAACTACATACCTGTGGATTGGGTTGAGAGAATAAGGGAATTTGTCTCCACTTCTTTACATAAAGAAGAGTGGGGAAGGTGAATTTTACCCAGGATTGGTGGTAACTGCGGCTATGAAAGACGGCAGGAGATACACAGCTGCTGCTAGAATCAAGCCACAAGAGTCAAATAAGATTCAAATAAGAGAGAAAGAGACCCCCAATATGCTTATCTCCCAGCCTCTGCCTGCAATGGGTAGATCTTTATTTGAAGCAAAAGATTATAGAGACACTGGAGTCAAATCTATAAACCAAAGGAGATTAGTAATAGGTATAACCAGAAAATGGTTAGGGCTGAGTGATATGCTAGACATTTAATACATGTTGAAGAAATGAAAGGTAAGTGAATGATGTGAACCTGGGCCCAGCACTCACTAGTCATTTTCATTGACTGCAGATTCAATGATTCATGACCTCCTGCAGCCAAGTCCTTTCAGTTCTGTCTAGTGTTCCAGACACTCTACCCCATGCAGCTCTCGTCCTGTGCCTTCCTCTTTAGCCTCTTCTAAACCCTCAAGGTCCTCACCATGAGCATAAGAAAGAGTCGCTGTCTTTGAGGGGATATAACAGAGAGGAACAGAGCTGGGTCTGAACTGCACATTATTAAGTAGAGAGCTGAAGTAATTCCTAGAATCTGAAATACAATCTAAAATATTCAGTTTTTGAAATGAAACTTTTAGTGTCACTACATCATGTGGAGAAAATAAATAAATAAAGGTAGCTTCTAGGAATTCTGCCCCAGGTGTCTGTTCATGATCTCTCTCTTCACCAGACACCTCATTACCAAATGCCTTGTGGCTTGACATTTTATGCTCAAATGGGCCGTATCACTGCATAGGTTTTGATTGCAAAGATATCTGGGCTCCCAATTCATTATGCTATAGCCTACATGGACACATGGACACATTGGTAAGGTGATGGTGAGAGATTGTTAGTGTCAGGAAGCTCCACTAGCCATCACAGCATTCCTGCCAGTCACCTCCTTCTCTGTCAGCTGAGTTGTATGAGAATATTCAGTACTGGCTTTCTCAAGAAATAATTCTCTGCATGCTGCCGTTTGAAGACTTAGGAATGACTTAAAAGCCTTGTTTGGACAGTTTCTCCATTGAGATGATTAGGCACTAACTTAGGAATTGCTGTCCATGCATGAAAGCCAGTTTTATACATATGGACCTGTTTTGCATCGAAGTCATGAAAGCATGTGTTTGAATGCAGATACATACCTCCAACAGCTATTCTTCATGCCCCATAAGTGCAGACTACTCTGTCTAGTGTTTGGGGCTTTTACATAAGAATTCATATAAAAGCCAAAAGTCCTTACAGAAACAACGTGGGAACTGTGATTGCTGGTGATGTAAGCCTATGAACCACTGTCCAATGAACAATATTTATCAGGAAAAGTCATTCACATTTCAAAAGTACTCTCCTAATAATGCATCTGTGAGCCATTGAGAAAGAATCATACTTTTGCACTCTATGTGACAGTAGCCAAAGTCCCAATTCAGTTGTAGCTGTGTCAAGATTTGTCAATAAATGTCATTCAAAGTCTCTCAGGATCAAATTCTAAACAATCTTAATCACAAGTCACATGACTGTCAAAGCTTGAGGACATCTATAGATCTATCAATACTGGGACAATATTAGCTGTATGATGTTAGTTGCCCTGTGCTTATGTAAGAGAATGTCTTATTCTGAGGAAAATAAGCTGAAATAATTAGGGACAAAGGAGATGTTATGACTGTAACATATTCTCAGATGATTTGGAAAGAATAGAAAATTGTGCATAAATATGAAAGAGAATGCTAAATCAAGTGCGGTGAAAATATCAACAATTAGGATATCTGGGTTGGGGGTGGTTGTTATTATTTTTACAAATGTTTACGATGGATACTACTTCACAACGAAATTGCCAAAAACGAATTCTGGAAAATGAGAGCTGTCATATGCCTTTCACTGATGTGATGATATTCAGCCACTGTATGTGATGCACAAAAACCCAGAAACAGCATCTCCTGATTTGTTCTGTTTGAGCTAAAAGCTGTTCTTTTTTTTCTTTCAGTCTAATTTCTTCTATTCATGGAGGCAAGAAGTAAGGATGCTTTGTACATGAACTCTGCAGGTAAGAAGGACTTCATCCCCATACTCCTCAGCTGTATCTTCCTACTCTCCATTTTTATCCAGATCGAGACATGAACTCAACATCCTAGATCACAAAGAATATCATCTCAAACCTTTCATTGTCCACTCAAGTCATTCTGCCATCCTCCAATCCTTAATAAACCAATCTTCCCCACTACAGCCCAGCTAGCCTGGCTTGGGACATCTGGTGTCCATCACTTTCTGTTTCTCTCAAAGCAAAACCCAAAGCCATTACTAGTTAATCTCTCCTAGTGGTATAATTAGAGGATTTCTATTTCTGCTTATGGTTTCTGTACTTGAGAAAATTCTGACAATGACTGCATTACTTTTATAATCAAAAAGAGAAAGATTGTGTTTGCTTGTTACATTCCTAAAAACAATTCTGTCACAGCTAAAACTATCACCACCACAAGTCTATAGAGAAGATTCATACATGGTAGGCTTTGAATCTTCCCCATTTACTAGCAACAACAAAACCCTAAGGAGCCAGAACTGATTGCAAAAAAAAAGAGGTCATATAGTATTATGGCTCCATGTGGCAGATAGTAAAACCTAGTGTCATGGTTTGCCTTAGTGAATATAAGGTAGAAAGATGGGTTTGGGAACCCTCTCAGTGAGCATGGTGTAGAACGCTAAGCATGTGCTCTCTTTTAGAGGCAGTGATGAACTATAAAGATAGGAGACTAATTAGGTTATTGGTTGAAGAAGATTCTAGGTAAAAATGTTCAGAGATTTCTTCAGGCCATTTCACAATATTTGCTAGTCTAACAATGAAAAGGTGATATCCTTTTGAGAGCCATCTGCCATTTCCATGTCAAGTCTGACCTTTCCCTCTGAACCAGTGCTGAAGCACTGCTGAGATATTGTGGGTCAAGTCATTCTTAGTTGTAGGAAGCATGGTGTGTGTTGTTGAATACTTGCAATATCTCTATCTCCCCCTCCCCAGCTAAAGATACCAATGGGACACCTCACCTCCATCTTTAACAACCAACAATATCCAGCAAATGCCTAAGGTTCTATAAAAGCCTCAATCCTCCACCCTCAATAGTATGAACAATGTCTCCAGATATTGCTAAATGCCCATTAGGTGAAGGATAAAGATATCCCAAAGAACCACTTCTCTAAATAAATTGGGTCCCACCAGCAAGACCTTTTGGGTGGAGGACAGTTGTCATGGGAACAGACTAAATTGATAGTATTCGTAGTGAATATTAGCAAATATCTACTGAAAGGAGGTCATAAATCAACCAAATGCTGTGAATCATAGGACCTGAAGGCACAAAAGCTCTGCCCTGGAGAATCTGGGAACATCAGAACTAGTGGATCAATCTTGCCAGATTTCTGTGAGTTTCTTCTCCTTTTTGAGCTTGTGTATATTGGTGTCAAATGCTCTGTGCTGCTTACTTGAGGGAAAGACACATGAGAACGAAAAGGACTATCTTAAAAACTGTGACAGTCCTCCTGCCAGGAAGCTGAAGAGGTCCAGAAAGCACAGTATGGTCTGAACTGCATTGCACAGTGCCAGGGATATTTGCCTTCTCTCTCTCTCTCTCTCTCTCTCTCTCTCTCTCTCTCTCTCTCTCTCTCTCTCTCTCTCTCTTTCTCTCTCTCTCTCTCTCTCTCTCTCTCTCTCTCTATCTCTATCTCTCTCCTTCTGTGCTTACAGAAGTCTGCCCTGATCATGTGCTTATGCCAAAGATCTCCAATCTTCCTTATAAAATGTGTCACTTTAAAACACAAAGACACCCATTCTTGGCAGTACCTTGATGAGAAACCTTTTTTTTCCACTTTCCAAGTAGTCATTTTTCATTACCCAACAGGTAGGTGTTGGCAGCAAATTTCCCTGGGGTAGCAACTGAGGAACCAGGGCCCTAAGAGTAAACTCAAAGCATGACATTGTTCTGTGCCCTTCCTGCCCATCTCCTAGTACACTTCCATGCATCTCCCTATTATGCTCCACCCCTTCACCACTTGGTGTTTCGGTTGCCAGTAGATATCTGTAAAAAAACACAAGCAGGAACTTGAATGCAGTTATATGACCAGCCAAGAGACACAGAAACATAGCCCAGTTTCAGGGTACATAGAACATCCAGAAGCCACCGTCCATCAAGGAATGCTGTGCAATCAACAATCCTCATAAAAAGAGGCTTAGCATTCAGAGTAGAATTGCAATTCTTATCCCAGACTCTGTCTGTCATGTAGCCTGTACACTGGTTTCTGGCCATTGACTTAAATGCCAACTTTCCAATCTTGTCCTGATGGTAAAGATCACTCTCCAACAATCTTTCCCTGGCATTTCCTCTCCAGAGCAAAACACTATACCTGACATACCAGATTCTTTTGCAAAAGTTCTGGCATCCTCTGGGTTCTGCCCTTTCCAACTCTCCACTTCTGGTTCTTCCCCCAGGTTTCCATCCACAAAATTTTAACCATACTTCTCCTCATAATGCACAAGACAGAAGGAGCTTAGAAGCAGCCCAGAGCACCTAGGAGGATATGTCATACATTGGGTGTGCTTTTGGAGTAAATTTAAAGCTTTTTGCCCATTATCTTTTCACCCACAGCACTTTTCTGCCAGAGTCCCACAGTTCCTATCACCTGAGCCTCTGCTTTGACATACTACAGTGTTTTTCAAGACTTTCAGGCTGGGCTGAGGATGTCGCTGATTGGTAGAGAACTTGCAGAGCAGGCACAAAGCCCTGGGTTCTTCCCAGCATGAGAGAGAGAGAGAGAGAGAGAGAGAAAGAGAAAGAGAGACAGAGACAGAAACAGAAACAGAGACAGAGACAGAGAAACAGACAGAGACAGAGAGACAGAGACAGAGACAGAGTCAGAGAGATAGAGAGAGGGAGAGAGACAGGGAGGGAGGGAGAGAGGGAGGGGGAGGGGGAGAGAGAGAGATTTACTTTCTCAGCCACATAAAATAAATTTCTAATGTTACAATAGCTACATTAAGTACATTTCAAATGTCCAATAGCTACATTGGTTAGTGACCAATTTATTAGATAGGGCCAATTTAGAACAACTCCATTATCATAGTACGTTCTATTGGACTGAGCTAGTCCTGACAATGGGATGTTCTGGCACATAGAGGCAAGCCAACATTACTAGAGGAGGAAGCAGAATTCCAAAGGGGAGGTAAAATGGAACCAGAGACAAATCACATGCTTTACCAGGTATCCAGCCCTGAGCAAATGTGCACCCTTCCCTCTACATAGCTCCTGAAGACAGAGGGCCAATGCAGGGACCCAGTCTCTCCATTGTCTAGCCTCTGGCTTTGTGGGCTCATGACAAAGCAAGAGACCACCTCCTGAATGCTGAAACAAAAAAGATCCCAGAGCATCAATCACAGAAGCTAGTGGACTCCCAGAAAAGGGAAATAACGACTATGACAGTAACAAGTAGTAGGGCCCAATCCAAAAGTCTACTTAGAGGACTTTACATGGTAGTTCATACCTGTAATCCTAGCTTCTGGGTAGGCAGAGATGGGAGGACTGTAGTCAAAGGCCAGCCAGGGGAAACCAGGGGAGGAAATCACAAAACTGGACCTGGAAAAAAACTAAACTAAACCAAAAAGATGAAGGAATTGGGGATGACTAGGGATGTGGTTCAAGTGTTAGAACACTTGAGGTGGTAGAACAAAGCCCTGGGTTCATCAGAGCACTGCTGACTAAGAAAAAGAAAGAGACAGAGTTGGAGTCCACTTAGATTTGGGATTTTTTAAAATCAGAAACACTGGATGTAAAATGGAACATCTTCCCTAGCAAGAATTAGACCTCCATGAGGAGAGTCTGGAGAACTTGTGGTTTTCTAAGGCAATTATCATTCCTTACTTATGATAGTGAAGAAACAATTGTCACAGTTACTGATGACAGTGGTTTGTGCTTGTGGAACACTTTGCATCTGAAGAAGCACTTTTACAATAATCATTCATCTCATCCTCACAATAGTTGGCTGAGGGGAGAAAGGCAAATAAGGCCTTCTCTCCTCTTTACAAGAGAAAACATCCATGCTCAGAAGATGAACAGACATTCCAAAGTCAATGTGACTGGTAAGGGCAGAAAAAGGGATAGAAACCCCCCATCTATTCTGCCTATAAATCACATAAAAACATCCCTACAGATCATGCTATAGACTCAACTCATATCCGGCCCTGAGCCAGCAACAGAACCACAATGGCTTCATGAACTCTAACTTACAACATGATTCATACAAGCTGGTGATCAACAGGAGCAAAGGACTGAACACTAGAAAGCTGATGTTACTTTTCCCATCAGACTCCAACATGCATGCAAAGGCTGGTGTTCTGATAATGGCAAAGGGGAGATAGGTGTCATGAACTGCAACGCCCAGTCTACGGCTGAGTATGTTTTTCTGTGCAAAAGACACAGAGAGATGTGAATTCCTAGCTCTCAAAACAACCCATCTGCAGAAGGGAACACTTGAACTTGACAGTGAATTTTTGTGTTCTAGAAAAAGACCCAGAAAAGTAAATCAGCATTGCCCACTTAAAACTTTCAATAGTGTTTGGCCAAATGTTTACGACTTAGTCTTAAATTTGAAAGATCTTCCCACAATGTATAGAAGTCATTTACATACCTCACTACATAAAAGAGCAGATCTTGTGTTTTTCTTTGACATAGCAGGCATACAAATATATGCAGAGTAATCATTGGGCTTTCCTTCTCATGAGTGCTTGCAGTAATCAGCCACTGTCCAAAAAACTGGAAAGAAAAATAATCAAAAGAATACTCAAAAGGACAAAGTAATATTGAAGACAATGGTAGAAATGATCACCTTGATACTGTGAAGAGTAATGCTAAAAATATATTTTTCCTTCCCTTTTCAGCAACATTCCATTATTTCTCAGTCAACACATTTCCCTACATTTAGGCCACTAGATTATTTGAACATTAGACCACTGAGCTATCTATGCCAAGCTCTGATGAAATTCTTCCAAGACAAATGGATCATGCTGGG